CCCCCCACCCCGACTCCCGGCTTCGCTGCCCGGCCCCGGGCCCAGCGCACCTGGCCGCAGCGGCTCGGTGACGGTGAGCACGAGCAGGAAGAGCAGCAAGAAGGCACCGCTGTCCGCCTTGGGCATCATTTATCCTCCGTTCATCGTCCGCGGGAAGGCCGGACCGGGCCGGGCTGAGAGGCTGGGCCCCGGACGCGAACGCGGACGGCGGCGTGAGTGGGCTCCGCTGGAACGGCTAACCTAGGCCCGCCGCCTCGCGCGCGCTCTCACTCCCTGTCGGCCCCGGTTCCCACTCGGGCTCCGCGCAAGATGGCGGCCGTCGCGTTCGGCGCCGCGCCGGGACGCCGGCGTCGGCCAATGGGCGTGGAGGTGGGGCGGTGCCGCCCTCCGGACTGCGGCCCAGCCATTGGCTACCTTCGGGGGCGGAGCCTATGCGGCCGTGCCCGAAGGGAGACCTTCGCGGACAGGGGCAGAGGGGCGTGTCTGAGCAGAAGGGGCGGGGCTACGCGGAGGGTGACGCCCAATTATCTGAGCAGAGAGGCGGGACTCGGAGCTGAACTGGAGCGGCCCCATTTTCCAAAGGCCCGGGGGTCCCCAAGATAAAGGGGGGAGGGCAGCGGGAGTGGGACCACGGTGACGGACACAGGAGTGGGCAGGGCAGAGGGGTGGGGCTGCGGGGTCTGGGGCGCCGCGCACCCTGGGCCGGACAGCAGCAAGGAGCAGCGCCTGAAGGGATGCGCGGTGGGACTAGGCACGGGGACCACTGACCTTGCAGCCCTGCAGGGTCTGTGTGAGGCCCAAGGCCGCCCTAAGGAGAAGAACTGCTCCACGGGGGTTCAGAAGCTGTCTAAATCTTTTGGGAAACAGCCGGCGTCAGCTTTTTTCCTCTCGGTACTGGTAACTTTGCAATCAGCAGCGCAGCACTTAACCCGCGGCGCCATCGAGGCTCCAATGGCTACCCTCGAGCACCCTTTAGGACCGAGGAGACGGCTCCCTAGGGTTCCCGAGGCGTCTTTTCGGGAGTAGCAGTCAGCTTTCTCCCAAGGAGGAACGGCTGGTGGGTCGGAACCTTTTGGTTCGTAGCCATGAACCACAACAGCCCCTCAAGGGTTCCTATTCTGACCCAAGCCCATCACCGAGTTAATTCTGACTCCCGCTGACCCCACAAGACACGCGTACGGTTAGAAGCCCAACCAGCCCCAAGCAGGTCCAACACGGACAAAGGACACCACATCTTTGTTTGGCTCCAACCCATCAGCTAATCCAGCGGTTCTCAACCTGTGGGTTGCGACCCCCTTTGGGGGTTCGGATGACCCTTTCACAGGGGTCGCCCGATTCATAGCAGTAGCAAAATGCCAGTGATGAAGTCGCAACGAACGTTTTATGATTGGGGGGGTCACCACCACATGAACTGTATCAAAGGGTCAGGGCATTAGGAAGGTTGAGAACCACTGAGCTAAGTATCAGAACACCCTGGATAACCCTTAGGGTGGTTCTTTTTTCCTTTTCTTTTTAAAATCATTTTATTGGGGACTCGTATAACTCTTACCACAATCCACACATACATCCATAGCACATTTGTACATTTGTTGCCCACATCATTCGCAAAACATTTTGCTTTCTACTTGAGCCCTTGGTATCAGCTCATTTTTCCCCTCTCCCCACACTCTCCCTCACGAACCCTTGATAATGTATAAATCATTATTTTGTCATGTCTTACACTGTCCGATGTCTCTCTTCACCCACTTTTCTGTTGCCCATCCTCCAGGGAGGGGGCTCTATGTAGATCCTTGTAATCGGTTCCCCCTTTCCACCCCACCTTCCCCTTACCCTCTTGGTATTGCTACTCTCATTATTGGTCCTGAGGGGTTTATCTGTCCTGGAGTCCCTGTGTTTCCAGTTCTTATCTGTAGCAGTGGACATCCTCTGGTCGTCAGATTTGTAAGGTAGAATTGGGATCATGATAGGGGGGGTGGAGGAAGCATTAAAAGAACAGAGGAAAGCTGTATATTTCATCATTGCTACACTGCACCCTGACTGGCCTGTCCCCTCCCCATGGCTCTTCTGTAAGGAGATGTCCAGTTGCCTGCAGATGGGCTTTGGGTCTCCATTCTGCACTCTCCCTCATTCTCAATGATATGATTTTTTTTCTTTGATGCCTGATACCTGATCCCACTGACACCTCGTGATGTCACATGCTGGTGTGCTTCTTCCATGTGGACTTTTTCTTCAAGCCTTTAAGACCCCAGACACTATGTTTATTGATAGCCAGGCACTATCAGCTTTCTTCACCACACTTGCTTATGCACCCGCTTTGTCTTCAGCAATCATGTCGGGAAGGTGAGCATC